AAAAACACAAAAAAAACACAAAAAAAAAAAAAAGAAAAAAAAAAAATAAAAAAAAAAAAAGAGGGGGGGAAAAAACCCTAAAGATCAACACCACACAGCCACAAAAAAAAAGAAGGAAAAAAAAGAAAATTTAATGTAATTAATGACATGATTTTGTTTCTTTATTTGGAACATTTTAATGCACCTCTCCGTTCTCAGGCAGAATTTTAAAAATAGTGCACTTTCAGTCAAAGAAAACAACCAACTGGCAATAGAAAAGAGGAAGTGCTTATGGGACAAAACCAAAAAAGACTGTCTAACAGTAGCAAAAGTACAGTATAAAAATCCTAAGTACCAGAAAGAATTGTGCATAGTTTGTAAACTATTTAAGAAGGTGCAAGGCAAATCTGTAAGAGAATGTGTCCAACAATCCAAGTACCACAACTGAAAAGGCTGTTTCTGCCCACCCACTTTTCATTCAAAGGTGGACTCTTTCTGAATAGGGCCCATGAGGATGACCTCAGTAATTGGACCAATTGACATAGGAGGAGCCTTGCCCATTGTTGCACCGTGCAGTTAATGGAATAATAGCCTCAGCTTGGTATCATCCTTAGACTCTGCTCCATAATGCATTTTGACTCCTATTTTGAATCCTAATTTCATTTGAGTCCTGCCAGGTTGGCATGAAACCACACTTTGGATTCTTGAAGGTAGGGTGGCCCTTAATGTGTGGAGGCCAGAAGATTTTACCAGCTTGGAGTGGAATTTCAGATCTCATCTCAGTAAATAAAAGGAGGTGTCACTGGGAATGATGAACTTGTTGTGTGTACACCTCGCTGTTATTCACGCAGTTGTTCTTCTTGCAGGAATATCTTGACCTGTCAGTGGCCTTTGAGCAGTACTCCCCTGCAGGCCACGATACCCACAGTGCCTGCTCTTCAGGAGATGACTCTGTATTTGCACATGACCTTCTCTCAGATGAGCCCTGTCTTCCAAAACAGCAAGCAAATGGCATCATCAGGACATGATGACAGATAGAGCTGCAAGAAATAGATTCATGAATGTATGTCTAAGGGAACTCAAGAACAAAATGCCCAGGAAGATGTTATTCTGCTCCATGGCACAGAAGAGTGTATTGCTGTGAAGCCGTGGCACTGAACATACTTTCTTCCTACTTTCTTGTAAAACACATGAAAACCTTGAAAGGCAGGTAGAGGATCGTGAACCTCCAGCCTTCAAGTCAGTTTTCTGTGCCTGCAATCCTGGTGGTGGGTGGGAAGATGAAAAGTGTGCAAAGAATGTAGGAGGCTTTGGCATAATGCAATCCGCGCATGAATCTTCTTTGGTGGGGCTCAATAGCCACATTGCCTGCAGGGAATCTTAAGTAAGTACTAATTTTATATTTAATAAATATAAAATTTGCCATCTACTTAAGAACATATTCAAAGCCATTCTGAGGAGTTAATCACTCTTGAAAGCATTAAACCTCTTTTAAAGTTGCCTTTACTTTCTCACGGTGGGGAACAGTCACCCCTTGCACTAACAGTTGGATAGATGAATGTATGCAGGCAGAAGGAACGTGAAGGACTGGGGGTGTTGCACGCTCTAGGAAATGGAGTGTGCGTGTGTTGGGGTGTGTGTGTGTCATTTGTTTATGAGCATGTAGCAATTACTTTTGCTAACTATTTCCAGGGGATTTCTATAAATTGTAAACTGCGTCAGACCCAAATTTTGCTATTTGTTACATTTATTCAGCTATTTTCTGGGTGAGTTTTCTGTAGATAAGGTTTAAATATATTTGTAACTGAGGTCTATAAATTTTTCCCAGAAATCTATCATCAGACACTTGGAGAAAAAAATATTACGGGTACCCATGGTCAAGCGCCTTTCAGTGAATCAAAAAGTTTTATTTCCTACAATTGTGCATATATCTATAAATAGCTCTTGTGTGTATATAATATCTCTGATATTAACATGGCTGACAAGTCTGAAAGAGAATTTCTCCAAGTAAGAATTCTTCTAAAGTAGGACATACTGATTTAGGCAAAGAATTTTTTTTTTATCTTGTCAGCTTGTTTTGTTTTAAAAGTTATATTTTAACATGTATATTTGTAAAATTATTTATAGATATTAACATATGTTCATTAATGTATACACTTAAATTTTCATCAGATTTAAGGATTTAACTTATTGAAAATAGAGGAAGATAATTCAAGATTGTTTTTCTGAATTCCTGAGAAATCTTAGAAAAATGTATAGCTGTATAGTCATTTAACACATTACTTTTAATACTAATTTTTCTTTTTTAAAAACAAAAAAATGCCTTTCCTGGGTTGCAACAATTATCAGGACATGCATTCTGTAATATATTAATGTTAAATCCAAACCTATGGCAGCAGAAATAATCCTTTTTCCATCTCTGTAAGAGCTAAGGAATCTTTCATCACTTTTGCCACTGTGCATTAAGTCAGAGGGGTTTTTTTTCCAGTTTTTTCCTTTGAATGAAGGTGTTCTTCATGGTTGACTAAATAACAGATATGTGGCAGAGCTGAATGTTGACTGCCAATGATTAATCCTCTACGTGTGTGTGTTCCCATTTGCATTTTTATGGTAGAGACATGGATCCAAACAAAATAATACTTTAAAATATATGTAGAGAAAGTTTTGATGATTGTAGGTAGACTTTGAACCTAACATTTAGCTTGGGAAAATACTAGGTTTTGTAGATAACTCAGTCAAAACACACTAAAGAGTTTTTAAAGATTTTTTTTTTAGAGTCTCTGAGAGCAGTTCCACACCATCACTGGTTTTTCCACCTTCCAGTTTCTCACATAACAATTTGAAACTGAAGGCTGATTTTCATTCCTGCTGGCCCTGAAACATGAATATGCAGAAAATGCTGCGGACACTCTCCAGTTGCATTCTTCCAGTAGGAGAATGCAGAGGACATCATTCAGTCAGTTCCCAAGTTTCTGATCTATCACTAGTCAAAAACTCCTTTCAGCCCATTTCACACGAAGAGGAAAGCGCCTAAATTGCTATTGCTCTCCTCCATGTTTGCCACATCTGTTGGTGTACATTGGGTAGCGTGTCAAATCACAACTCCAGTCTGAGAGGCTTCTGTGATGGGAAGCTATGCAGGGGAAGGTTAATTGTTAAACTCTGAAAATCAACAAAAGCATGGAAATTCCCCATAAGCTTCCCAGCCATCTTTCCGTCATTCCTTTATTGCATTGAAAAGCCCTGTGAGTTGTGAAAATGAAAGGGTAGCAAGTCAGCAGCTTTGCAAAGAGTTGTTTTCCCCAGTAGCTCTAACTACAGCTGCAGGGGTTGCTATAGTGTGGCTAGGTTGGGAGAGGGGAGGAAACAATAGATAGCTAATGCATACAAGAAGACACAGATTCCAGGAACAAGATGATGAGCCTTTAGTTGGGGGCAGGGGGCGGGGGGAGGGCAGATCGTGGCCCATTTAGCTCTCAGAGCAAGGAAGCAAAAGTTCCCCTACGCAGGAAAATGGATGTCCTCCCAGGTCTGCAGAACCACAGCAACTGATGGCAGCTCTGCCATGAATCAGCTTCAACGACAGCATCATGAAAGCTGTCAGGTCCAAAGGTGATCCCAAAGTGATGCAACAATTGGAGCAAGGGACATATCTTTTGAATAAGGAAGTAAAAAGTAGGGCTATATAAAAAGAAGTAAGAACTAGGAAATTGAATGCAAGAACCTATAGTATAGCAATTGTATTCTCTCTACAGATCAGCAATTTCACTAAAGAAAATGAGCACCATTCCAGATCAGTAGTCAGTATATTCTTGCAATACCACAAGATTGTTTCAAAATAGTTAATTTATAGATCTGAAGCTTCAAAGAGTTTTAAAAAATAGATTTCTGTATACAAGTACTTTTTTGGAAATAAAGAATTGTGCTATTTTCTTACCACATATGGTAGTTTTGTACATTCCAAGGATCTGAAAATTGCTATTCCAGTCTGAGTTCATTAATTACCTTAAATATATTATATTCATATATAATATATTTATGAAAGATTTACAAAGATATATTTCTTATATAACTTTAAAGCCAGGATTTGAAAACTTGAATATTTCTTTAAATCTTTATTCCTGTCCATGTTGCGATCAATACGTTTGCATATTGTGACATTTTGATGAACATTTTCCTGGTTCAGCATCTTCTAGTTTCTGTATTGCTTTGAACATTTTAGAAAATGTGAAACAAAAAGCAAAAGAAATCTTATTCTGTTTTTGCTTACCTGGCCCAAAAATAAAAAAGTTAAACATAATTTATTGTCACTCCTGCCTTTATTTTATGAGTAAATCTTTAAGATTTTATATGTATACAGAGATATAATAGAATATATTAGAAAAGGGATCTTGAGAGCTTTTCATCCTAAAAGGACATCAGATTACAATGGTACCTCGGTTCACGAACTTAATTTGTTCCACGATTCTGGTCGCGAACCGAATTGGTCG